ATCTACCCTCTAAAAGCTAGCTTAAAAGAAAAAGGGGTAAAGAGAAATACATTTTGTTGTGGGAATGCTCAGTTGTGAGTTAATATTACATATTATGATGCTTCTATTTTTGTTGTTTTGTAAAATGAAGTAGAACTTATTATAGAGGGGGAAAATATCTCCAGGGTCACAGAATTTGTTCCTACGCATTACTGTGGGTTTGGCTCTGTCACTATGGTCATAAATAGCAATTTGTACTTTATCTAATCTACTCTTGAGTATTCCTTGTCATGTGACCTTAGTGGCCTTTTCTCAGCCAGTTGTTCCTAAATCTAATCAGCCCTACATTTAGAAATACTTTCCTAAAGTCTAACCTAATGGTCTAGTTTCAGGTTGTTATATCTCATTACACTACCCTTAACAATTTTAAAGAATCCCTTTTCCTGTTGGGTGTTATCATCTCCCAGATATCTATGTTCTACCGCGATCATTTGTACTTTTTTTTTAAAGATTTTATTTATTTATTAATGAGAGACAGAGAGAGAGACAGAGACAGAGACAGAGACGAGACACCGGCAGAGGGAGAAGCAGGCTCCATGCAGGGAGCCTGACGTGGGACTCCATCCCAGGCCTCCAGGATCAGGCCCTGGGCTGAAGGTGGTGCTAAAACGCTGAGCCACCCAGGCCACCCAATCATTTGTACTGTTTATTCTCTAAACAGAATTGGGCAAATAATGTTCCCTTAACCTCATTGCAAAGACCATGTCCTGCAAATCCCCTATCATGCATAATACTCTGGTCTAGATTCTAGTTATCTGAAGAACCAGAGTGACTGCATTTTTATGTATAGATAGAGCATGTCTCCTTTGTGGTAGTGTGCAAAACTACACCCTAAATTTGATCATCTTCAGGATAGAAATGAACACGTGATAATATTAGTAATGGTAGGTGCCCAAGACAATCTTGACATTCCTCTCAGCTTGACTAAATTTTAAATGGGTTTCTTCCTGACTACAGAGTATTTATTTTAGAACATTTGTAATTCTAGACATTTTCCCTGGTTCTTTGAGATATAATTCTTTTACAATCCAGGAATGTCTTTTGAAGGGATATGGGAGCCATCTTTTTGAAATGTAACTTAAAAAAAAAAAAAAAGACGATATCTTTCTCTATGGGAAGGTAGGAACCTATCTTCAATAAATGCTAGTTAGCAAACAGATGGCCTAGTTGTATTGACCAACCTCCACCCAGTATCCTCTAGTAGTTTCCACTAGCTCACATCAGTGCTTAAAAACTCTTCAGCCCTTTGGCCCTTTGTTTCAATAAAGTTGAGTTCAATTTCTCTACCCTATTGCAATAGTCTTGAATAAAATATTCCTTTCCTGTTTAACTTGTCTAGTGTAACTTTTCTTTTACAGAGGTCAGGACAGAGGAAGCCCCAGCCACCCTCTAACACCAAAGGATCTGGGTCATGATAAAAGTTTAAAGGAGCTATTTCAGTATAAGTAATATTATGTATAAATGAGTATGACAACTTTGTGAGAATTCATTGAGCCATACACTTATATTTGCACATTTTTCTTTATGTATGTTAAACTTCAATCAATAACCTTACTTTTTTTTTTTAAGATTTTGTTTATTTTTTTGAGAGAGAGAATGAACAAGGAGAGCAACAGGGGGAGAAGCAGACTCCCAGCTGAGCAGGGAGCCTGATGTGGGGCTCAATCCCAGGACTCTGGGATCATGACCTGAGCCAAAAGCAGACACTTAAGCAACTAAGCCACCCAGGTGCCCCAGTAAGTTCACATTAAAATATAGTTTGAACTATAGCTCTGTCATTTACAATATTAGGATATTGGGGATGATACCTAACTTCTCAAAACTTCAGCTTCTTTACAGGTTAAATGGGAAGAAAAATAACATATCTCACTGTGGAGTTGTGAGGTTTAAATTAACCAAATGTTACAAAGTTCCTGGTAGAGTACCCAGTCTCTAGTCGTGAGTAAATGATAGCTGTTACTACTATTCATTGTTAGGTTTTACAGTCTTTTGTAATAAATGATGAAAAGTCACTGAAATAAAAAAATAAATAAATAAAAAAACAAGCCCCTTATTTCAGCAGCCTTCCAATGGATGAAAGTATTCATTCTATTTTTCTTTACTTTTGTTTGTTTGTTTGTTGTGTTTAAGGTTTTATTCTTAAGTAATCTCCACACCCAACATGGGACTCAAACCTACAGCCCAGATTCAAAAGTCACATGTTCCACCAACTGAGCCAGCCAGGAGCCCCTGTTTTTTGTTTTAAATAAAGCCATGTATGTTCAATATGGAGCAGTGTTCTTTTTTTTTTTTTACATTTGTTTTAAGTTCGATTTGCCAACATATAGTATAATACCCAGTGATCATCCCATCAAGTGCCCTCCTCAGTTACTTTTCTCTACTTTTTAGACTGCCAGGTAGTTATGGCTTTAATCCATTTGCCTATAAACAACAATGAATCTTGCATAGTTTAAATGGCAGAAACACTTAAATACGATCTAGGTTTTTAGTCCTATAAAAATCTAGTTTTTAATTAGTGTTGTAAACTTACTGATTAATTTCCTACATTAAATTCCAATTTAGCTAAACCAATTGTCCCTAATCACTGATCCCAGCCCCACCAATGTCTAAGATAGTTTAGTTTTATTGATCATTCACTAATTCAATCAATATTTATAATTACATGCCAGATGCTGATCTAGGAGGAAGGAAAATTGTAGTTGAAAAGACAAAGTCCTTACCTTTTGGAAGTGAATTTATAGTGATAGAGTCAATAACCAGGTTTAAACAAATAGATCATTGTCAATTTTACTGTTATGAAGACATTTTAAAAATATAGAGAAGGGTTATAGTGTAATTAAGAGGGTGATCAGGGAAGTACAGAAACTTGAAAAAAAAATTTTTTTTAGAAAGAGAGCCTTGTAAATAGTTAAGGCAAAATGGTAGAAGCAAAAAGTTGCAGTGACCCCACAGCAAGGAAAATCTTGATCTATGACTGAAGTGTAGGAAGCAAGGGAGAAGGTCATGTGATAAGATCTGACACATACAAGGGCTGATCAGGGAGGGCTATGATCAGAAGTTGTGGGATTTTAACCAGGGGAGGATGTAATTAGATTTACATTTGTCAAATGTTCACCATAGCTGTTATGTGGAGATTACCCTGGAGTAAGTGTAGATTAAGAGAAGACATAAGGAGACCAGTTAGAAGACTGGTATAGTTTCCAGGCAAGACATGGTGGTGGCTTTGTCTAGGGTGGTGATGGATAAGATAAAGAAAAGTGGTCAGATTTCAGATGTACTTTAAAGGTAGGGTCAACAGGATTTGATAGTAGATTTGATGATAGTGAAGCCTTAGAGAAAAAAGAAATAAGCATGGCCTCTAGATTTGGGCCTAAGGAATGGACTGAAGGGTAGTACAATTAAATGAGAAATAAGAAATATATATATTGTTGGAAATAAGAAATATATATATTAGTCTCTGCCCTCAGTTCTTCCTAATATTTGATTTGGATCCATTCCTGATACAGAGTTCCCAAAACCCTTGTAATTTCTTGGGTGATAGGCGTGTCTTTTGTTCTAATTAAATAGCTCTTGGTGGACTGCTGATTAGGTGCTAAGCACTAGAAACACTAAGCCATGATTAGAAGCTTGGAACTTAAAAAAAAAAAAAAAAAAAAAAAGCTTGGAACTCTAAGTCGTACCTCCTATCCTCCAGAGAGAGGGCTAAAATAATCTGTTGTGTCTACTGTATCTATGCAATAAAGCCTTCACAAAAACCCTAAAGTACATGTTTGGAGAACTTCTAGGTTATTGAACATATCCATGTGATGGGAGGGTGGCACATTCCAACTCCATTGGGGATAGAAGGTTCTGGACTCAGAACCTTTGTGGAGTCTTATGTGTTTCTTCATCTGGCTGTTCATCGATATCCTTTATTGTATCTTTCATAAAAAACTGCTAAATGAGTTCTGTGAGTCATTCTAGCAAATTGTTGAACCCAAGAAGGAGGTCCAGGGAACCCTGATTTATAAGCAGTCAGTCAAGTACAGGTGAAAACCTGGGATCTGAGACTGACATTTGAGTGGTGGCAGTCTTATAGGACTGAGCCCTTAACCTGTGGGACCTCACTCTAAATTCAGGTAGACAGTGTCAAAACTGAATTAGATTGTAAGACATCCCACTGGAGTTAGAGTTGATCAGTATCTGATGTCAGAAGTATTTAGTGTAAGAGTAAAGGAGAACAAAGACTCTTTCACTAAACAGGGGAGTATAATCCAAAGTATAGCTTGAAGTATCAAATAATTCCCTCTTCCTTTATCCTTTTGCCGTTTTAGTCTTGGCCATTCTTCTACATCCAGGTCACAAATACTCTCTTTTCCTATGACCTTCACCTGTGATTATAATTTAAATTTTTGTACCTGGAGTTTTGCATTGTTCAACTGATAATCTCTGTGGCTAATTTTATGTACTCACACATGTTGTAAGTAGATTTTGAAGCCCTGAAAGCCAAAGAATAGACCTATTTACATTTTTGAAAAAATTTCAGCATTTATCATGGAAATTTTTAAAAACAAAAAAAATGTTAAATAACCATTTTCTCATAATCTAGTTTCAACAACTAGCAATTTATTACTAATGTCATCTCATCTATATAACAATCTATTTCTCTTCTACCCCCATTGGTATTTGGAATTAAATACCAGATATATAATTTTCTCTGTAATAACTTCAGCATATCTTTAATATGGGTAATAGGGGTTTTTTTTAAATGTAATTACAATACTGTAGTAAGGCCCAAAATTTGACATTAATTTTTTTTCCATATCATTATTTTTAATGTCCAATGTTTGTAATATGAGAGCCAGGGCTTTCTCCTCAACTCAAGTTTATAAATTTTCTATTGGCTTGTGAGGCCAATAGGGATACTAATTTGTCTAATTTGGTTTCTGTCTAATTTGTCTAATTTGGAATCTGAACTTCATTCAGGTCAGGTCCTCAATGGTCATCTGATCAAATGGAATTATGTTCTTCATCTTCTCCAGCTCTTTTTCATATTCTTCAATCTTGGCCTTTGAGAGGGACAAAAACTCAGCACAGCTTTTCACATCTTCTTTTTCCTCAGCATCCACCTGGACAGTGTATTTATCCTCTGGCACAGGAACCTTCTTCAGGGCATTAAACTTCTTCTCAAAATCATCTACCAAGCCAGCCTGTGCCACATTGGCCTGGTAGTAAGCCCAGTCGATAGCAGGTGGTTTGTCAGGAAGAGTAGCCAACCTAGAGGTAAGCACCTCATTCCAGGATTTCAGGGAGTTGGCAATGGCCTTCTGGTTTCGGGGTATGATCTCCCCAAAAGCTACCCAGTCAATGGTTTTTAGAGCAAGTTTCGCCCAGCCATCTTGAGATCCTTCACCGACCCCAGCGGCCCACCTGACATTAATTTTTTAATTAAATATATTATTGTGTCATAAACACTTTTTTTACAGATTCATGTGTTCAAATCAGGATCCAAATAAATCTACACTTTAGTATTGGTTGATATATTTCTCAGAATTCTTATAATTCATAGTTCTACCTACATCTCCATCTTTCTCTCTCTTTCTCTCATGTGTGTGTGCACCTATGAATGAAATTTATTTATTATTTGTTCATTTAAGGAACCAGGTAATTTGTTCTATAAAATTTTCTATAAAGTTTGCTAATTCCATCCCTGTGGTGTCATTTATTATGTGTCCTGTGCTTTCTATTGGAAAAAATGGTTAGGAATATAAAAATACTAGGGGCCTGGGCTGTGCCAAAATAACTCTCTTATCCTAACAGAGACTTTATTTTAAACTATTTTACATTTGTATTCTGTGTTCATCAACAAAAAGACCATGCCTTCTCAAGCATATGATGGGATGTTTTTAGACTGTACATTGCATTTGTGTGCAAATAGTCAAAACTCCAGTTTTACTTCATTTTTTGCTTCAAAAATTCCTTATTTTAACACAATACAGCACCCTACTAGGTGCCGACTAGGTACTGCACAGTGTTTTAAAATAAAACCTATTTGCATCTAACATTATTATTTTGATCCTAAAACAAATATTTCCAATATTTATTTTGCTAAAATCAAGGTGCAAGTAAGTGTTTAAAGTTGCATCAGTAAATCTGAAGGGGAAATGAACTAAATGAATTTGAATTTGTGTATAACTTCTCTTCAAATCTTTTTTGCATTAGATTTTATTCAGAGAGCCTTTTGTGAAATACTTAGTACACACAATGTAATTGACTTTTTATACCAGCTGAGAAAGAACAACAGGGGACTCATATCTAAATTAAAATACATCTCACCCAGGTCTATAAAAGAACCAACGGTGCTTTCAAGTGTGAGGAACTCAGTCTGGAAAAGAAAAGTTGAGAAACTTACTCAGATTCCTGAAAACAAGGATGCTTCAGCCAGGTGAAACAGATACTGCCCCCTAAGAAAGAAAAGTGTTTTATCACCTGTAGTTTCCTAGGGCTGCTATAACAAAATAGCACAAATCAGATGGCTTAAATCAACACAGAGTTATTCTTACACTTCTGGAGGCTAGAAGTCTGAAATCTTCACCTGAAAGATTCTTCGAGTGAATCTTCATCAACACCTGAAAAGGTGTTGGTAGGGCTCTGCTTCCTCTGAAGCCTCTAAGAGAAATTCCTTCCTTGTCTCTTCCAGTTTCTAGTAGTCCCAGGCATTTCTTAGCATGTGACAGTATAATTCCAATCTCTGCCTCTATCTTGACATAGCCAGAGCTCTTCTGTGTTTCTTTTTTTCTGACACCAGTCAGATTGATGGTGGTCTAATCCACTATGACCTCATTTTATTTTGAGTGTATTTGCAAAAACCCTATTTCCAAATAAAGTCACATTCACAGATACTGATAGTTATGATTTCAGCATAACTTTTTGGGGGATGCAGATCAATCCATAATATCACCCTCCTTTGAGATGTATGAAAATCAGGACAGATCAGGCTATTGAATTTTCACCTTGCATAAATTAGTATGTACCTGGGAGCATCACTATTTACAAGGTTGGTTTGTACCATTTATCAATATACTAATTAGCTTCTGCAAAAAGCAATCAGTCTTGGGACGCCTGTGTGGCTCAGCGGTTGAGCGTCTGCCTTTGGCCCAGGGTGTGATAGTGGGATCGGGGATCGAATCCCACATCGGGCTCCCTAGCCTGCTTCTCCCTTGGCCTGTGTCTCTACCTCTCTCTCTGTGTATGTGTCTCTCATGAATAAATAAATAAAATCTTTTTTTTTTAAGCCATCAGTCTTAACACCGAGAACAATAAAAGGTGAAATGATACAAAATTTTCAGTAGGTCTTTGAAGGCAGATCTATCTGTTTTCGGCAGACTGTGTTCTTCTATAGATATACAAGACAAAAAAAAAAGATATACAAGACAGAAACAGAGGAAATGACACAAATAAGGGCAATCTGGGACTCATGATATTTTTTAAAGATTTTATTTATTTGAGAGAAAGGGGAAGCACAAGTTGAGGGAAGGGCAGAGGGAGAGAAAAGCAGACACCCCAATGAGCAGGGAACAGTGACTCCATCCCAGGACCCTGAGATCATGACCCCAGCCAAAGCCAGAAGCTTAACTGACTGAGCCACCCACACTCTCCTAGGACTCACAATTTTTTTGACTTTATGATGGTGTGAAAGTGGTATGTATTCAGGGTAAGCTGCACATTGAGTTTTGATATTTTCTGGGCTACTGATGCCCATACTGTCCCATGATGCTGGGCAGTGAGCTCCCAGGCAGCCAAGTGATCATGAGGATGAACAACCAATACACTTGCAACCATTCTGTACCCATATAACTATTCTGCTTTTCATTTTCACTACGGTATCTGATAAATTACATGAGATAGTCAACACTCTATTTTAAAATAGGCTTTGTGTTAGATGATTTTGCCCAGCTGTAAGCTAATGCAACTATTCTGAATACATTAAACATTGGCTAGGCTAAGCTATGATCTTTGGTTGATTAGATGCATTAAATGCATTTGACTTAAGATATTTTTAACTTACAATGAATTTATCTGGATATAATCCATCATAAATTGAAAAAGAAGTATACTTTTATTAGGGGAGAGTCTTGCTTTTTTTGTTTGTGTATGTGGTTGACTGGTTAGTTCTCTTTTTCCAGAACACTTCTATCTATTTGAGTTCACTTCTCTCTTTACTACCCCAACACATTGCAGGGGAGGAAAAATTTCCCTCTACCCTTCTTAATTCTTAGTTGAGACACCAGCAATAAAAGATTAGTAAAAGAAAAACAAATTGAATTTTGACATATATGCTTCATGTATACATTGAAAATACCAATGGAAAAAGTGAAAAACTTCCCAAGGAGGCTTAGAATTGAAAATTAAATACCATTTTAATAGAAAAAGGGGAGGGAGAGATGCGGGCCTCTTAATGGAGAGTAAATTATTTTAGGAAAGATGAGGGGGTCCTTACAAGAATAGATAGGAATATGGATAGTTTATGACAAAGTTTGGGTCTCCTCTCCTCTCCGGTGAGAAAAGTCAATCTTGCCTGGTTGATGAACCTCTTTGGAAGGGATCTGTAACAGGTGAGTTCCTTTTTGGAGCACCTGTCTTTAGGCAAATAAGGAAAGTTCAGAGAAAGCCTCTCCTTGCATTTTGGTGTTTTTGAAGTGACTACAGTTCAAAATAACCAGTAGACCAAACTGGCATATTTGGGGTGTCATACTCTGCTGCTCTCCAGCATCTGAAAAGTCCTTATAGCCACCTGCTAAGTCAACAGGATCCTTGGTCAGAGCATTCTCCAATCTCCTCTTGCCTTAAGCTTTTTCTTTGTCTTTGGTAGTATGGGGATCTACCAAGACCTTCAGAATTGGTATGAAGATGATTTTAAACTGAAGAGATTTGAGATGCAATAGATGTGAAAAGATTTGAAAAGCCACCTTAGAGCTTCCCTTATCTGACTAAAGAGAGAAACTTTAGGGAATGAGGCTGTGGTAAGTCCCCTTTCTGGAGCAGTTTCACAGCCAGTAAAGAGCCAGACCACTGGTGTTGAGGTGAGAAATTTCAAGCAAACATTATTATTACTTTCCATTTGTTTCCCTAAAAACCCATTTATCATTCTCCCATTAATCTCATTTATTCTTTCTATAGAAGCCTTGCCTCTCTGCACCCTTTCCCCTATGAAGTGGGTATATAAATTCCTATCTCTAGCTATTCAAGGAGCCAATTCTTTTGTGCACTCATATGTGTATGAATACATTTTCTCTTTTCTCTTGTTAATCTGTTGCCAGTTAACTGCATGCCCCGAATCATTTGAACCAATGGTAGAGAGAGTTTTCCTCAAACAGTAGTGAAAACAGATCAAATTCCACTACAAGAGTTTCAAAGAAATACAGAAGCCAGTTGGGCAGAAGAAACAAGGAAAATGAGACATGCTGCCAGAAGATCCCTGCTTAATAAAAACATGTGAAAGGAATCCAAAGAGAGAAAAATCATAAGAAGAGAAAAAGAGTAAAAGGACTTCACTTCTGTATCTCGAACCACAAAGATAAAAAACGAACTCTATCTTGTTCCTCAAAGAGTTGGAATAGGTTCTAACTGAATTGGCGTTTACTCCACCACCTTTCCTCCTCTTCTTTGAAAATTATTGGGGAGTTAACACCCACACTTCCCTCTTAGCCACTGTGCAGCTCATAACGTTCCCTTCAGCTTATTCACCGTACTTTCTACATCTCCCTGACTGGCAGTCCTTTTCCTCTGGTACACCTATTATTAATACAACAGAAAGAATTGCTTTCACAAAATGTCCAAGTATAATTGATTACACTTGGCTTGTTTCCATTTTAAAAAATGCAATTGACTTTCACTTTTCTTCCAACTATATTCTTGCATAAATAAAGCTTTTCTTGGTAGCCCTAATAATAATGCAGAGCATGATGCATAATTTCTATGGTTAGTGAACACTTTGTTTCAATTGCTTCCAAGGCAAATACATTTGGCTCCAACCTCTGGAAAGTTAAGCAATTAATAAAAGTGTCAGATAAATGGTATCAAAATCAAACCTTCGTTGAATACAAATGGACAAACACACAGAGCGCCTTTGATATTTAACAGAATCACCCTCAAAGGCCACAAAGTGATGACCACTGTTATTAGCAATAATTAACTTTGACATTGTGATTAACTTGTTTTACAAGTGTCACAAAAATCTCCATAGATGATACGTATTTTTTACAATTACGCTAGTCTTTAATGTGGCAGTTTCTTTTCTCCCTCCCCCCATTATTCTCTCTTCTTTTCCCTCAGTTTCTCCCTCCCCTCTCTGGCTCTTTGAATTTTATCAAGAAGTTCT